AGTCATGCTGGCTGGGGAATTCTGGGAGTTGAAGTCCGCTCATCTTAAAGTGGCCAAGTTTGGACAACACTGAGTTAGAGAGACTTTACCTTAACTATGGGTGTATTTTGGGATGTGCTCAGAAACAAGTTCCGTGCAGCATATACCAGAATCAAAACGATGTAATCTTTCTCAGTCATATCATGGTTGCTAATTTTGAGGGCCTCTAAACTGAGAATTGTTTTGTTTATCCAGTTAAATAAGATTTTAAGTATGATTAAAGACTGTTAGCGGACAATTGCATATTACAATTCAAATTCTAGCTTTACTACAGCATTGTTAGGTGTCTTAAGGAGTTCTGTATACAAAGCTGACCACCTGGTTAGGAAGAACATTAGGTTGATCTAGATAAAGAAGCAAGATCAGCTCTGGGAAGACAAGTATATGATGAGCTGAGGTTTGTGCTGTATCTCTTTTTAATACTGTACCCTCCTTTATGTTTATCACTATATCTTGTTTATTTAGTTGGATGATTTACCTGAAAATTCTCCAATCAATATAGTACAGACTCCGATTCCAATCACTACCTCTGTTCCCAAACGAGCAAAAAGTCAGAAGAAAAAAGCTCTTGCAGCAGCACTGGCTACAGCTCAAGAGTACTCAGAAATTAGTATGGAGCAGAGGAAACTTCAGGTCTGTTCTAATGCGGTAATTGAAATGCATTATGGGTTTCAGTCTAGGTGGACAGATTGTAGTGTGTGATGCTCGAAATCCCCAAACCATGCTACTCTTGTCCCTACTAATCCGACAAGAAGGTCTCCTGGAGTAAATGAAGTGCCACATTTTCCTTTGAAAGTTTGTAATCTTGTTTTTTGTTTATCTGAATTCTCCATAATCATAAATTCCTTTATTGCTAAATGGGTCTGTTCCTATAGCAAAATGCACCTCTATCCTCACACCACCTTATGATCAGAAGAACAGAATAGCCTCTGATACTATAGAAGCCAGATGATCTGGTTGAAATGATCACTTTGGCCACTGAAAATGATGTATCCCATTGTTACCCCGAGTCTAGGAAGCTGTTTCAAAAGCAGCTGGAAAGAAGAGTAAAACTCCTGTGCAGTTAGACTTGGGGGACATGCTGGCAGCTCTTGAAAAACAGCAGCAGGCAATGAAAGCTCGTCAGATCACAAACACCAGACCCCTCTCCTACACAGGTTGGTATGTTTTACTTGACCAATCTTTATAGCCGCACAGTGCTCAAGCATCTCTTCCATCAGAGAGAACTGGTATAATAACACGGAGCACAATTGCTACATTTGCATTGTCTTCTTTGGTCAGGAATACTTCATTTAGAAGTACAGTTTGACACGATCTGTAGCCCAGACACCTTTGTCATACATAAACAGCTACTCTCCACGCAAAATGTTTCTTAGAACCTTGGAAAGCAGTTGCAGTCAAAGTTCATGCATTCCACTAAGTCATAATTCTGTGTATTGTGTGAAGCCAGACATTGTGATTTGTAGGCCATTGTTTTAGGGTGTGGTCCAAGCTAATGGTGGCCTGGGAAAAGTTGTGAGGTTTCTTGGAAGCCATTTAAAGGAATTTGTGGGTAGCTTGGTTCTTTTGACCAATACAGATAACATTGCTTCATAAAACTGGTGTACAGCATGTTTCTATTCTTCTCCACGAATCAGATTACTTTCTTACAACAACAGATAATCTCTGAGCAGCATTGTTCCATTGCGTAACTTCCTTGTCACTGTAATCTGTTTTTATTTCCAGTGAAGGAAAAGACTTTGTAATGAGAACAGAGCAGTGGGGGGAGGGGGGTAAACTACCGTGGGAACACTCATTTTCTTTCAGCAACATCAATTAAACCATTGCACACTTTTGTTTATATTCAGTTGGCAGCGCAGTTCCTTTTCACACCAAAGAATCCACCAGCCGGAAATCCTTCTCCAAAGGACAACCATCGGTGGGTTGCCTTAATCCTTTGGATTCCACTGCCCCAAAAGTCAAACGAGGAAAAGAGAGAGAACTGTCAAAGCTGAAGCGCCCTACAGCCCTGAAAAAGGTAAATAGATTTCCTAAAGTGGGACTTCTTTTTTAACAATATGGTCTTTGAATAATGGAAAATAGCAGTCCGAGCTTCTAACAGCCCAAAGTCCTTGTAGCAGAAAACAAACTTAGGGGTTGAAAGTACCGGGAGTTGCATTACCTGCCAATATGCCAGAAAATATTTAACTGGTCATCTTTTGTCTCCTTGAGATTAACTGTCTTCAGTGGGGCCATTGAATAGGACACATTGCGATCCAGAGTTTCGTCTTTCTTTGTATACTATATCCTAATAAATATTTTTTTCCATAATTTTTTCTGAGAGATTTGTCGTATTTCCAAATACTTAAAGATTGCTCAGTCAAATCACTAGGAATGCATGTTTTGCCTTGCTCTCTAAGTATGAAATTAGCCAGAATTTCAGTGGAATTAGCTTGAATTTAATCGCTTGATTATCATAAAATTGGTTTCTTTACAAGTATGTATCATAAACAATGATGACCATAGAATTGCTGTGGGTAGTAGAAAATATTAATGTCAGTTTGGACTTCTCATATGCAGTGGTATGTTTAAAAGGCATGAGGAACAATGTGATTATCTTCCAAAATGCTTTAAAATTATAAATAATAAAGCTAGCAAATTTTATATTATTATTGTGTACATATAAATGATGATTAGTAGATTAGCAACTCCAAAATAAAATCCAGTTCACGCTTGCATGATTCAGGAATCTAGTCTTGAAACAAACGTAGTACATATTCCATTGAAGACCGCAGGATTGAAATGTGTCTGTCAGTTGCTGCTCTTTAACATATATTTAACAGTGGTGAATGATTAATCTATTTTTCAATAAGAATGACATTTTGAAAACAAGTATACACTTTTTAATATTCCAAAATCTAATCTTGTATTTTAATTTTATCTACATGGCATAGCAAGTTTTGGAAGTGTACTTTTTTTTCTACCTTATCTACAAAGAATGAATGATAGGAGGGCAAAAATATTCACAATATCTTAATTGGGTTTATTTCAGATTATTTTGAAAGAGAGAGAAGAAAAGAAAGGACGTTTATCAGTAGATCACAGCCTTTTGGGTGGTGATGAGGAACAAGAGGTGACTCTGACTTCTAACCAGGCAGAAGAACTAACATCTCAAGAAGGTTAGAAGATCAACCTGAGACATGTCTCTGTATAAATATGTTTAATAGCCATTCTATGAACGTATGCATGTTGTGGGTTATTAATTCAATAAATAGGCTGGAGCCAGAAGGTTGCACGTGGTAAAAATAGTCTAAATAGTTTATTGCAATCTATGATGTAACATTCTGCCGTACAAGACTTTAAATTGCTGAACGAGGAGGTGTGTGATTGTTCTGATTCACTAAAGCTGGATCTGCTACCCTATTTTCTTAATTAATCTCCTGGGTGGGGTTTTTTAAAAAGGTCTTTGGGTTCTCTGATACTGATCTGTGAAGACAGACATGTAGACTTTGTTTTTCTGAGGGTTATGATGGGACACTGAGTCCTTTCTTTTGAGTGCCACAGCTGTTTTGTTTTGCCTTCTCTCTTATAGAAACTGGCCTGAGTGTGCCGAGTGACACCTCCCTCTCTCCAGCAAGCCAGAATTCTCCCTACTGCATGACTCCGGTATCCCAAGGTTCTCCTGCAAGTTCAGGGATAGGAAGCCCAATGGCATCTTCAACTATAACAAAAATTCACAGCAAACGATTCAGAGAGTAAGTTTTTTTAAAAAAACAAAACTGCATTCTATAGGGCTTTTTCAAAGTAAACAGGTTGGTCCAAGTAGAACGAACTTAAGTTCTTACAGGAAGGCACGTCAGTTCCACTAAACAGATTCTAGCTGTCTGGAGCATAATCTACTCCAGCTAAGAGTGAATTGCCTCTGGGAGAAATCTTTGGATATCTTCAGCCAGGCATATGTGGTGTTTTGCAATAGGACAAGGAGAAAGTTATCCAAGTGCAGGTGATTGGTTTCCAACAAATAAAAAAGGTTGGCATTGACTCATCAAGTTAAGCTGATTAAAAAGTATTTGTGGGTGAAAGAGACAGGTGGGTTCCCATGTCTTCACCTTTATTATGGCCTTAGAGACAGAAAACATATATATCAAATATACATACCGGATACATATAGAAAAACATGTTCCTAAAATCTGTAGCTTAAAAAAAAAGACAGATGGATTCAACAACCAATGTAGGATTCAGGACTACCCCACATTAAACCTGTTTCCTCAGGGGAGATGTTAAGAAGTGGTGACACTGCAGTTGCTTTGCTTAATCCCTGCCTTCCTATCAACTCTCCTGTCCTTCTGCATTATGTTTCATTTCTCAATTCATAGTCTTTCAGGATTATTTCTGTTGCTTTTGTATCTGAAACTGCTTCATGCAGCTTCCCTGCAGTGTGTTTGTTTGCAAATATGGTAGCACCCAGCTTTTGAAAAACATTGGGAACAAAATAATTTTCAAATAGGCGAAAGATTTATACGACCTGAAGAGAAACCAGAGCAACACGGAGCTTAGGGAGGCTAAGAAAGAGTTTAATCAAAGGAAGAATATATAACTTTATGTTCCTTTTATATGTTCGGAATGTAGCGAGTACTTAGTACATAAAAATACAGCTTGCAATGTAGATAGCAAAGCTTACTTTTAAACATACAAACATCTGTACTTCTCTAGTCATGGCTCTTATTTTATGGCAGATGAAATTAAAAGTAGTTTTAGGAAAGAGAACTTCAAAAAGGATGAACATTTTTTTCCGTATAATAGATGCAAATTAGCATTGCTAAAATTTGTCTTTTTGCTCATCTCCTGAACGTACAGGTACTGTAATCAAGTTCTCAGTAAAGAAATAGATGAATGCGTGACTCTCCTGCTGCAAGAGCTTGTCAGCTTCCAAGAACGAATTTATCTGAAGGATCCTATAAAAGCTAAAGCAAAGAGGAGACTTGTGATGGGGCTGCGAGAGGTTACAAAGCATATGAAGTTAAGCAAGATCAAATGTGTTATTATTTCTCCCAACTGTGAGAAGATCCAGTCAAAAGGTATAAATAACTCTCATGAGATATCTTCTCTTACATAGCTAAACCAGTTTCCTTTTTTACACAAAGTTATTTTGATTACTCTTCTCCCATTGCTGTCTTTTATATATTAAACACTGAGTGGCCTCCAAGGTACCATGTGCCTAGAACGCTGAGCAGACCCTAGGCTTTTCTCCCCTTCCTGTTGCAACTCTCAAGCCCTCAAGAAACTCCTCCAGGAGATTAGAAAGACCATTAGGGACAGTTTACAGTGTGACTCAGGATCTGCAGTTACAGAGGAGCAAATGGGCAGGCATTAAAACATCCATGCATTGTTTTGGTCACAGAAGACAATTGTGCTTGATACAATCTACTATTTTTAAGTAATTTTCTACCTCACGTTTTTGAACTATTTAAGACTAATTTTCTTTTTAAGGACCTTTCTTGCTGATAACGTAAGTTGGTTAATAAGAATAACTGATTATTTCACTTTTGAACATGCAGCAACTTAAAACAGGGAAACTGTATTTTCCTTTTCTGGCTGGCTGTAGATGTTGAGTTACAGATGGTGAATTTCATTTCCTAGAGATGACATTTAGGTACTTCCACATATTATGCATCAGCGAACTCCATTTGCAGCAGGGTAGATGTTCAGGGGCTACAGCAGGTGGCAGCACCTAGCTGATCATGGTGGATCCCAAAAAGGCTTAAGTGAAGTCAGAATCGGTTAGTGCTTGGATGGAGAGATCAAGATTCTCAGGGCTGTAGCCTATATTGGGAAGTTAAAAAAAAAAAAACATTCTGGAAGAAGACAATGGCAACAACTTCCATACGGCTGCCCCAAAAAGTCCTCATGCAAGTCCATAAGGAGTTGAACTCAATTCCAACTTTACATGTTTGAGGCACCTTCACATTAATGAATTAAGAACTGAAGTGTTTGCTGATACCTCTTTTTTGGGGGGGCAGCTTCGCGTTCATTCTGTTTTGTGTGCTTTACATGTATTCAGTTTTCATCTGACTTCTGTTTGATTAACATCGTACAATTTTATTGTAAACTGCCCAGGGAACTTCAACTTCAAGGAACTTCAGTTGGGTGGTTTAAACTTTTTAATAAATAAATGAAATTAATAGACTTAAGTCTGACTAATTGTGAGAAGGTTCTTCATCTCCTTTTTTCCTTGACGTGTTCCAAGGTGGACTAGATGAAGCTCTGTATAACGTGATTGCCATGGCTCGAGAACAAGAAATCCCTTTTGTCTTTGCCCTTGGACGCAAAGCTCTTGGTCGCTGTGTCAACAAGTTAGTCCCTGTCAGTGTGGTGGGGATCTTCAATTACTCAGGTGCTGAGGTAAGAGCTTCTAATTCAGCTCTGCAAGCATGAAGTTCATTGTACAGCCAATAAAGCCTGAAACTAAATTCATTCTGTTTCTGTGTTGTAAAATAACCTGAGTTGTATAATCTATATCTGCAAGTGGTGTGTCTTGTGTTTCTTCCCAAATCTCTGAAGTAGATTGGTGCTCATACTCCTTTTCGTACACAAAACGATGATATATTCTAAGTTAAAAAAACAATAAAAGCCAACCTTTCCAATTCTGATGTACATGGGTGCATGTATGTATAAGAAATACACAGAAATCCTCACATGTCTGGGAAGATGACATAGTCCATGCATCTGCTGCCATTATAGTTCTAGCCAGCATGGCATTTCTTCACCCAGCATGATTGGACTGGCAGTGATAATCAGTGGACACCAATAGTTCAGGCTAGCATCATTGTCCTGTTTTTTTCTGATCCACTGTCTAGTTCAGTGTTTGGATTGCAAGGTAGAAGCTTGGTCTACTGTGATATAATGCAGTGCTGTACATATTTTAAGATATAACCATCTGTGTACTGTTTGAATAAGACCCAAGAGAAAAAAAAACACGAAACCTTCCAGTAAAACATTGCAAGCTATCTAGTAACATCTCATGGTAGTTTTCCCTCTCTGAGTGGACTCTCTATCTTTTAGAACCTCTTCAATAAACTGGTTTCGCTGACTGAAGAGGCCAGGAAAGCCTACCGAGATATGGTTGCAGCCATGGAGCAAGAACAGGAGGAGGCCCTAAAGAACATTAAGAAGGTGCCCCACCACATGGGACATTCCCGGAACCCTTCAGCAGCAAGCGCCATTTCATTCTGCAGTGTTATTTCCGAGCCAATTTCAGAGGTGAATGAGAAGGAGTACGGTAAGCATGTATTTCAAAGTAATGCTTTTTCTTAAATTTTTAAATGTTTCTTTCTCTAGCCTGCCTTAATTCATAATTGGATGAACTTTTATAATTATAAAGATATAATAACGGCCTCTTTGACCAAATTTATTTCATAACCTTATTGGAATTTTGCAGTTTCCTACAGTCTAGTATTCTGGATTGTCTGTTTAATCACACATCTCACACTAGATATCATGGAGTCACCTGTAGCATGACAACCATGGCATGAACTTCTGCTCTGGTACAATATTGGAATCAGGTGTGTGTACCAGAAAGGGAAGTAATTTAAAAAGTCAACATGGTGGCCGCAACTGTATGATTGAAGCCTTATCCCATTTTTACATTTGTCTCTTATGACACTTGCAATAAAGAGGCAGGGCTTCATCACACAGGTGTGGCCACCATCTTAACTTTTTGACATTCTCCCTTGCTGACATCCCTGCTTGGAATACTGAAATTTAAGCCTTTGTTTTAGATAAACAAAATTGCCTCCATATTCAACCAGTTGCAAAAATTTGAAAATATAACTTAGTAAGATTTTTTTACTTTAAAATATAAGGTCTGTAGAGTATTGCAGTCTCATAAAACAGGTCTCTGTTCCATGTTTGTACTGCTGTCCCTCAGTTGGCTCCCAGGGCAATTTGTAGTCTGATTAAAAAAACACAATAAAACTAAAGCAATAAAATAGGGGGCTAAAAGCATTAAGATCAGAGTGATTAAAAATGATAATCTTAATGATCATGATTCAGATCAGAATGATTTAATGATTAAATAATGATTAAATAAATTATTATTTAAAAACAAATAAGGAGCAATGATGTAGTACACCATAACTTTATTTCAAATTCTCTTCAGGGACTCTGTGGTTGCTACTGATTTGGAATGAAATAGTTAAACTCTCATAGGCTAATTTTTTTTATCTACTTATTTTCATGTACAGTTTTATTCATGGAAACAACAGTTTACATTCTTAGAATTGCTTCTTCAGATCTCCTTTCTTCTTGGGTTTGCTATAGAGAGAAGAATTTTTTTTGTTTTACATTTTAATTATTAGCATTTAAAGGGCTCAACGGGACAATGGTATAAATTATATTATTCTATAGCATCAAGCAGTTGCTCACAATGCACAGAATCAGATTTGTGTTTAGTCTTGTTAACCACAGTGTACTGGAAGCCATTCTTGCTTTTTGTGACCTGTAACAGAATTTTAGTAATTGTATTGTTCAAAGCTTTTCCTAGAATGGAGATAAGGTTACCTGTATGTACTTATCAACTTGTTTAAAATAGAAGTATGCTTTTCATTTTGCTTTGTAGCCTTTCCCAAAATGTTCTGCCTTTTTCCCCCCAGAAACAAATTGGAGGAATATGGTGGAAACCTCAGATGGCTTGGAAGCATCTGAAAATGAAAGAGAAGTGGTGTGCAAGGTTGCTGCTTCAGAAAAACCTGGCAGCCATAATGCTACTGCTGGTAAGCAGTTATCTCTAGCTGCCGTTGGCCTCATGACAGTTGCATCTCATGGGAAACCACTAAGTGGGAAAGAGGAAGTGAAGCCAGATGACAATCTGGAATGGGCCTCTCAGCAAAGTACAGACACAGGATCTTTAGATGGCAGTTGCCGGGATATTTTGAACTCCTCCATGACCAGTACAACGAGTACTCTTGTGCCAGGAATGCTTGAAGAAGATGAGGAAGAGGAGGAGGAGGAGGAGGAGGAGGACTACGCCCATGAACCCATATCAGAAGAAGTTCAGCTCAACAGCAGAATTGAATCATGGGTCTCAGAGACTCAGCGGACTATGGAAACACTTCAACTTGGAAAGAGCCTCAGTGGTGCGGAAGATGAGAACGTTGAACAAAGCGAGGAGGAAGAACTGGAAACTCCTGAGCCAGCCGAATTGGTTCTTGACAGTGAAGAATGGACAATGGACAAGGCTACAAATAAAGCTCAGCAGAAGTCTAATACCTGCACTTCCCTTGATACAAAACATACAGACTCAAATTATATACCATAAACTTTAAGCCCAAACTCAGGAAACTTTACTATTTTAAAAAAACTAATTGTTGTAAGGATTGCAGCCATTGCTTTGTGTGCTTCATCTCAGCATTTTGCACTGTGTAACATTTAATATGCATATTTAATTCACAACATATTTTTTGTAGCGGTCTTTATTACTTCTTCATTGAGACCTAGAGTGTGCATGTATGATTAATATTTATATCTTTCTTAGAACAGGCTATGTGTGTTAAACTGTCATTGGGCATCTTTTTCGTATGAGAAAACTATTTGCACCTGACCATTTTTAATGCAAAACTCTTCTCAAACTGAAAAATTCTTACATATTTTTAAAGCATTGACAGTATTGACCAATATTTGCTTCGTCCTGATCTTTTTTGGGAGGTATTTGGCCACTGAGTCCCTAAAATTAGGCCAGAGTGATTTTTTTTTCAGGCTATTACAGGTGACTATAATCAGAATGAAAATGTGTTCTGAAAAAAGGGCTAGAAAGATGTATATTAGCTAGTCACTGAATCAGTGCATCTTCTTAGTAGTATCTTAGAATATTTGTTTAAGAAATAACACTCCTGAAGGACTGGTTGCAGTTGGCTAAAAGCATTTGGCTAGGTACTTTGGAGAAACATCTCTTAGCGGGTACTTTGATGAGGATGTATCTGTTTACTTTCCAACTGACTACTTTAACATTGTCACTGTGCCTGCAGGACTGCCAAAAAGGGCCCATTAACCACCACAAACTTTCATTGTTTGGCTTTCTTAATTTCTGCTACATTGCAGCGCGCCATTTTCTGACTGCTTCTTAATGCTTTCACTGATCTCAGGAATGTTACTATGAGTTTATACATGCTATGTAAATAGAAAGTTAGAATCAGATATCGACCATTTAGCAAAAAATGAAATATGAAGCTTGGGGGAATTTACTGGGGAAAGGGAAAGAAAGTTGGTGTTCAGATCACCTCACTGTTTGCTTGAGATTGGTCTTGCTGAGAATGTGAACTCTGTGGTCTTCTAGCAGTTTGCCCCATTGAAAGTAGACTTTCATAAATGTGAGAGGTAGAAGTGGCTAAGCAGTAGGGAAATATCCTTCGGCTTGTGGAGTTTCAGAATGGGGGAGAGAAGAACTGTTATTTTTAATGATTTGCTTAAATTTTGCATGCCTATTCTGAGTTTTCTAGCACTCATTTCACCAAACCAAGTCGCATAAAGGCGGGGGGGGGGGAACGGTGATGGTAGAAGTAGTGCAAGAAGACAAACTTTATGAAAATATGGCTGTCCCCAGCAGCGTAAAATATTTCATAGGTCGGTTGCTCTCTTAATAGTTTGGGACCAATAACTATCATATCTGAAGCTAGGTTTTTTTATTTCTAATAAGAAAAATCTGATGAAATGTTTCACAATTGTCTGTTGTCACCTAGTGTTAAGGAATGTAGCGGAAAAAAAAGTTTGTATAATTAGCTGTTGTACATGGAACCAGTATGTGATGAGTAGGAAAAGGATTGGAGGCTACCTGCATCCTTGCAGACTGTCCACAAATTGATATTTCTTCCCTCTCTCCTCTTGAAGTGCTAATCAATCAAAATGACTTCGTTCTTCAGTAGATGTTGTCTTAAATGTGTGTCTCTTTTTTTAAAACCTGGTTTGTCCCTTGCCAGTTTGCATAAAACCAGTAGATAAGTATACACCCCACCCCCCTTTTCCCATTATATGTTTCAAATTTAGTCAAAACATTCTGGTGTATCTCAGTTTGACCTCCCACGTGAATGTGCTGATCTCCAAACTGCAGCAGGTCTCCTTAGGACAAACAGCATATCATGGGCTGAAGCCATTCTTCATAAAATGCTCATTTTGGGGAGGGGGCCCCTAAGAACTGGTTGAGAATAGAATATGTCTATGAAGTATGTTAGATTGTATTCCATTTTCAAAGTGTTTCCTTTTGTCTTTTGTCTTTTTGCAATGCAGTGAGGTATTACGTTTATGTTCATTCTTTTGATGGGTTCTCTTCCAATGCTGTAATAGTCCTTGATGTTTCTTCTGAACAGCTTAATTTTCATTTCTTTTCAAATAGGCCTGTTTCTGCTGTCTTATTGGTATAAATTTGGAACAAGCTCAACAATGTTTCCTCTTCCTTAAAGTCAATTTAATTAATTTCACTAGAGTTAATGGCAAAAGATGGGAATTTCAGGGATGGGTGGGGGTATATGTCTGATGGGTTAGAGGTGACCATATAGGGAATAGTCATAAGCACTTCCAGTATTTGTATAAAAAGAGCTTGCCACTGGGTAATAAGAGAACACCAAGGTGGGCTGATGCACTGAAATCTGTGGTGGGCCAAATAAGAATATGGGGTTTGTAGGTTACTAATACAATGCTTTGTTCTAGTACATATGTGTTTATACTATTAAAGTCCATTACCTGTATTCCTCCCTTGTTATGCCCTATTCCCCAGCTTACATTTTAAATGGCATGTTTTTACAAACTTGAAATTTGATCAGTGATTGGTGTTGTGTTTGACCTGCTGTTTGGGTTTTTAAAAAAATGGAAAAGATCCTTTTGAATGATGCACTTGTATGTACTCTGAACACATCACTAGGAGATACCTTGGAATCTTCTTTAGGTGGATCTATGCAGTGTAGCTAAATCCAGTTGTCAGCTGGAAGCTCTTAAATTTTAATGGCATGGGAGCAAAAACGTCTTGTTTGAAAAGCTGCTGTCTACTGAAATTGTCGTAATCTGTGTGCGTGTGTGAAGTTGTGCCAATTAATCAAGATGCTCTGTCAATTTACCAGATTTTAATCACTAACTCAGAACACTTTAAAAAAGCCATAAATGGAAACTGTACAGCTTCATGCCCAGTTCAGTCCTACACAAACAATCTTAAACAATTAACAATTTGAAAAATCAACAGAAGGGCACAGTCTAATTAATGTTTATATGTGGTTAATGTACTTTTAAAGACTATACTTAGGTAATGTCTGTTAATCTTTGATACCTGTACACTAAATATCAGTAACAGATCTAAAGTTTAAATTAGAAAAAATAATGAAATGACTTCATGAACAAGTTCTGTCTATGTTCTCCTTTTTATGAAGGATAATTCTGTCTACCATACCTTTTTGGAGTAATAACAGCTTTTGCACTATGTAAATACTAGTGGGGGTTCTTCCACAATGAATAAAAATGATTATAAGAAATTGTGGTATCGTATTTAACGGTGTATTATTATTTGGCATCACCATCAGAAGGGCAGTGTATTTTCTGAAGAGGAATTTAGTCTTCATATTCCGCGTGGAGGCTTACTGCTCTTCTGCATGAGACCTCTGAGCTCCAGAATCTGCTCCACTGCTGTGGTCTTCTCACTCTCTTGCTTATTGAGCAGCTGAGCTGAGTAATCTCCAGCTCAACTGCAATGGATCCAAAATTGCAAAAAGAAAGAAACGAAGAAAGCTTCTAAGGATAAAACCGCAGAGCTCGTGGGCAGCATGTCCTTTTTCCAGTGGTAAGAAATTTTAGCCAACTAGCCCTCTATGCCCAAAGGAGAAAGGTGGTCAAAGGGCAGCAATGGCTCTCCCAATGCCCTGTGGATTTCACTTTAAAAACAAGCCAGGATTGATCTGGGCTGTTTTACCTTTGCGGATCCTTGCAACTTGTGTGGGTGTGGGAGGGAATTAGCACTTTGCGTGTGCGTGTTCAGTAAAGAGATTTTTCTTACTCCAGGATCATTTCTTTTGCTCTCCCCACCCCCACAACTTTCAGGGTCCTGTTTAGGATGCTTGCTTGCAGACATTTGGGGAGAGTGCATCTGGATGCAATCTCCAGGATGCAGTCCCTTAGTCATAGCTAGCAATAGACTTTTAAATGCTACAGAAGAATGATGGCTTGGCTGTTTCCCAGCTATCCCTTTACAGCAATTGATGAGATCGTTTTGGAAGCCTCCACGTAAGTGCACGTTATGTTCTGGAAGAGGTGCAGAGACTGTCCATTTATTTCAAGTTTGCATGGAACAGGGTTTGAAGGGAAATGTAATGCTCCAAGATCTTCACCTATAATAGCTTGGGGCACAGATGGATGCTTTTCTAAATTGTTCTGTTAGTTGGGGAGAGAGTAGCTGGATGGTGTTGATCAGTCTCTTCAACCAGCATGCCACAAGCCCAAAGCTGTATTGTGGGCGCAATTTTCTTTTCAGCTTGGCAGACTGTAGTACTAATCCATGGCTTAGTATCTGTGAACCCAGTTAATTGGGGCTTAATCAACAAAGAATAATACTTGGGATGTGGGTTGAGATACTTGCCCCTACAGGCAATCCTCAACTTGCGGCCATTTGTTTAACAGTTGTTCGATGTTACAACAGCACTGAAAAAGTGACTTACAACTGGTCCTTGCACTTAGGACTATTGCTGCGTCCCCATGGTCATGTGATCAAAATTTGGGCACTAGGCAACTGGCATGTATTTACAACAGTTGCAGCATCCCAGGGTCACATGATCACCATTTGCGACCTTCCCAGCAAGCTTCTGATGAAGTCAATGGGGGAAGCCTGTTCGCTTAACCGTGTGCTTTGCTTAACAACCATGGCAAAAAGGTCGTAAAATCGGGCGTGACTCAACAACCGCATCTCTTAGCGATGGAAGTTCTGGTCCCAATTATAGTAGTAAGTTGAGGACTACCTGTATTGGTTTCCCCTTCCTCTCTGGGAAAATATGATGAAGGCGTGGTGGAGCTGCTTATGTCTATTATCCTAAAATGGAGAAGTAGCAATTCAGAGGAAATCAGGAAGGGAGGGTTATGTAAAAGGATGCTTTTGGTGATAATGTAACAGCTGAACGAGGGACAGGAAGTCTCTGACGGCAATCAATATTGCTGTTTGCTTCATCAAAAAACTGCACCGTGGCCAGAACTAGCCATCCATGAGTCTGAAAAGCAAAAGCAATGAGCTTTTGGTGCATTCAGTTTTGCAGAACAGTAACTTTTTATGTGTGTGTGTTTTATCAGGAATTAGATGAGCAGGCGACCAGAATCTAACGTGATTCTGGTCTCCTGCATCAAGCACACCCATCAATGGTGACAGCAGATGCCTCCTTCCGCCCCTCACTCACAAGGCAGCAAATGTGACTGCGGTGTCTCTCTCTCACCCACACGCTGAGAATTAACATGAGGAAGTGCATGTGATGGGAAGACATCCACACTTCAAAGCTCTCCTGGGGAGAGGGAGGTCAGTGAAGCCTATTGTTGCACGGTGCAAGCGTGTTGTTTTACAGTATTGTATTTTCACAGCCTTTTTGAGAAGGGGAAGACTGGCCCCTTTTTTCCCAGGCAAACAATTTTCAGTCTTGCAGCGTTCTGGTACCCAGCACTTTCCAGGAAAGACATTTTCAAAAGCAAATAAACAAGATAGCCTACATCGATCCCAATTTAGCAAGGCTTCCTTCCTGCTTTGTGGATCCCACCTTTCTGAACCCCTGCTGTGTGTAGGTGATGTGCAACGAAGCTGATGTTGCTCCTGCAATGTGAGAAGGCCATCTGCTTAATCCTATTTAATATGTTATGTTGCAATACATTGTTTGCAAAGAAGGGCAAGGCTGGATTTGGTCTCCCAATTGTTTCCTTTCTAAGCCAGCCATCGAGTTGAAGGTATCTAGACACAGCTTGTTTTGCAGTTCCAAACAGCAGTTAAGCCTAAGAGAGCTTCCAGATGAGACTTTTTCTGTGCAATTGCCTTGCTTGGCCTATGGATTTTTACAAAGGCATGTAAGACCAGCAGATGACAAATTCCATCATCTGAGATACCCTTCCCACCCCTACTACAGGTATTTTCATTGGCTTGGTTGTTACTGCCCCTGAGGTGAGCTTCCTCATCCAAGACCTGCACGAAGCTCCACTGGTGATTTCCTTAAGATCAACTTCCTGTGCAAAAAAAAAAAAAGTATTGTTCTTGGAATATGTGTTACATTGCATGCTAAACCTGGGTTGGGACATGGTTGGAAGCCTAAATAAGGGCAACCGTACTGCTGAGTAGAACAGTGGGGAGATGATATAATTGGCCCGTGCGCCTATTTTTTTAGTAGGTCCATCTTCTCTCACCATTTTCTCACTATGTTTCATCTGCTTTTTGCTGCAGCACATAGTGGATCAGAAAAAAAGAGAATCCACTGAAGATCCATCAGAAACTCCTTTTTATAGGTGAGTGTATTATATTTATAATTAAATGCCATGGTCTTGAGACCTCTTAGCTTGCCAACCTCTGCTCTGAATACTTCTGTGAGATGTAAAAAGACAGATATTCAATTTCTTGGGTGCAGTGTGCCTTTCAGAATAGTTATAATTAAGAATGGAGCAGGCAGTACATTCCATCCAATGCTGTAGGTCTACCTCTGGAGGGCACCTACTTCCCTTCTGCTGTCCATGCCTGTTCATTTTGGAACATCTGACTGTACAAGCCAGGCCCATGTTGAATTTTTCAAAATTGAAAATAGTTTTTTTAAATCATTATTATTATTTCCTCTTCTGCCAGGTTTTCTTTCCTCCCGTTGATATAGAAAGCTACTCCTTGTTTTAAAAAAAAGGAAATGCTTTTTAAAAAAATCCTTCACATGTGCAGCACCCTGTGACTTACAAAAACAGTGTGTTATTATTAAGTATCTTCTCCCACACCACGAGCCCACTCACTGGTGCCTCTAGGTAGGTGAGTTTTCCTTTGATGTTCCTCCTTCCCCTTTCCTGCTTGCATCGCTGGAAAGAGGAGAAAAGAAGACTTTTTACCAGAAGAAATTGCTGCCTAGCAATGCATGCCTTAAAGGAAAACCCAAATGGTTTTTTCTGGGATCATGTGAACCTTCACAGGGTGGGGTTAACCATCATGTTAAATAGCATTCAGAATGAGTGCTCTTCCAAATGCTGGCACTTTTTATGCGGTTTAGTGAGCTCCCCAATGAGAAAGGTGAATGGACCTCTGGCGATCAGTTTTGCTCCTGTTGTTCTGAAAACGCTATGGAAGATTAACAAGTCAGAATCAGTTTCACATGAGCTGCTCATAAGTCCCAGAATTTACACCATCTTCCCCATGAGGCTGATTTGCCCTTTGCGACATAGCACGTTGTCAGAGCAGACAAGACAATAGCAGAAAGAGAGGTACATGTGTGGCAAATCAGCCCTGCTACACAAGGTTTTCTATGGTGGTAGTGTGGACCGACCCAAAGGGACAACTCTATATATGAATTGCTCCCTTGGACCTGTCCCCACTAAGACCACTGAGAAACTTGCTTAGCAGGACGGATTCGCACATGACAGATTTGTATGACTAGAGCCACTATTGTTCGAAAGAAGCAGTGAAGAAGGCAGAAAACTCAGGAAGAGTTGGGGACTTCTAGAATTGAAGTTTATTGACCATAGTCTTGAACTGGAATATTAACAAAGCAAACAATCCTATTCTATCTTGTAGGGGGCCTCAAGTTATGCCATCTTATCAGTCAGGTCTACTTTTGAGGGAGGTCTCACCTCCTGGCTTGTCTTTGGTTGTGGAAGAAGATAAGCGATCATAACCACCATCCAGAAGTGGGTCAATTTCCCACTTGAGAACATCTGAATTCAGTCATCTACTGCTCAGAGCAAAAAACAGAACAAAACTCAAGGGGGAAAAAAGATGGCACAATTCAAGGTTCCTCAAAAATCACCACAAGGCCAAGGCTTCAGACGAAATTGCTCTTCATTTACATTTTCACTGAGACCCAGATTTAGTAGAAGCTATTGCTTTATCCTGTAAATTTCCATTGGCTCAGGGTTTTTCACACACACATCCCTCCTTCGCCTCTGTTCTTCATGTAGAGCTCTTCCAAATTCAAAGGTTGGTATCTGCCCAGTCTTACTTTTTAGGTAGCCTCTGTGAACTGGCAACTTATTATTTGAGAAATATCTCATGTCAATGAGTTGGCACTAAGGCCACATAGAAATTCGAACCTACATCTGTCAACTGTACCCTCCTTCCACTTCAGCCAAGGTATCTTTTTAAGTTTATCGGTGGTAATCAAACATCACTAAGGTGTACTCAAGCCCATGGGGGGGGGGGGGGGTTTCTTCCCCTACATGCCAATAGGTGAAAAGGCTTTCTTTAGGCAATGCTACAGCCTTAATATTGTAGCAAAATCCAGGAGGGCAAGAAATATTCTGGGGCTGGCTCACACTGGCCCTCTGCTGATCTTTGTCAGCTACATAAATGAGAATTGAGAAACATGACTTAAAATAACCTACACTTTGGGGTTGCATAGGTACCTGAACTGGTTGTTGCCAGATTAATTCTGCTATAGGATTATAGGATTCACATTTGAATGCAGAAAAATAAGGCCAAAACCTTATATCCGTTTATTGGAGGTACACATGACAAACTGGATTCCATTTATAAATCAGAATGTGGTGTCTTGTGGGTGAGAAGTCAACAAGAAGTAATCCAAAGATAATACAACATCCAGGGGGAAAAAAATACTAAAATCGGTCTAAAATTGAGAACGTTGCTCTTTTTTTCCCCTCCCAGGGGGATTTTCAGAAATTACTGAGGGCTAAGTAGAATTTCAGATGGGGAAAATCTTGAGGGCCATGGTTTCCTTGAATAATCCCTCTGCCTATTGCAAGGAGAGATTCCAGCATCTCTTCTGCTGGGAAAGATCCCAGGTTCCATATCTTGAATATTTTTAGATTTGAAAAATGAAGGGGACAGATGATGGGGAAGAGACGCCTTCCACTCCCTTGGCAATTTTCCTCATTAGAGAGAACGGGATGAGTTGAGCCATCTAACCCATTCTTCTTGGTTCTTCCCCGTCATGAGCAAAAGGAGGAACTCTTATCGTTGCCATACACCAGTTCCAGCTTTGAGCTTGCCCCAAACTGAGACCTTTGAAAAATATAAAGCAATACCCTTGAGCACAACAATAAAGCATCGGATTCCACCCCCCACCCCACCCCGCTCTTCTCCCTAGATGCCTTTTGTCTTCCTGCCTAACGTCTCTGATGGCTTGCAGTTTCTGAGGATACGATGCACTGACTGAATTGCCTGCTCAAGTCTCTCGTTTCCTGTGCGCCCGTCTCTTCTAATCTGCCTGCCCAGTAAATTTGATCGGTACAGGAAGTGCTATTATCTATGGAACGGAAAGTCGATAAAAAGGAGCTCTGTTTCTTAAAAAAAAAAAGAAGAAGAAGAAGAAGGAACGAAAACAGCCCATCACCCTTCTTCTCCTCCCCCGGGGTTTTATATCATATGAACGAATGCCAGTGGAAATGCCTTTTCCTTACACTACTCTCCTTCTGCTGCATTGCAGAAGCAAGATGTTTAGCCACCTTTCAGGGGGAAAAAACTGAATTGGATACCATGCCACAGATGCCTTCCCCCACAGGCTACCTCCGGTACAGTGTAAACTGTCCCTTTGCCAAAAGTCACATTTTGGATGGCTACTAGTTTAGTGTATTTATGGTGCGTGAGTCATCAGGCGGCCTCTTGATTGGCTGAAAACTCAACACCCCTGGGACTGTCAGTCAGTTACAGCCATGCTCAGCTTCATTCACAGATTTATTTAGCTTGCACACAGTGAAATCCATTCAGAAAACTTCATTCATAAAAAAAGAAAAGAAACGGCAACGTTCTTTCTTTAATATTTCATGGAAATAGGTCGTCATAACCTGGAGATGAAAAAACGCTGAGAGATGACTCCAGAGAATGGTGGAGAGACTTTCCTGCAATGTTTCTGTTGGTGATGCTGAAGATCTGAAGTCCTGCTGTGCCGGAGCATCAATCTATGTGGAGTATTTTTTGGATTACTATGCTACTGAGGGGTCTTGAAGGATGAGCAAGGTTTTTGCAGATAGAAACTGAGTTTTGTTTGCAGAACTCATCAACCTGGACTTCTTCCCCCAAGCTGCTTTTGTTGGATTTTTTTTTTAATTTCAGAGAAGTGCTTTTTCCCCCCTCAACAGATCAAGTCACTGTTAATCTACTCAGAACAAGGCTACTTTCTTTAAAAAAAAAAAAAACACCCTTGCTGTTGTTCATCGGGAAAGGGTAGAGTTTTTGGGTTTCTTGTTGTGTTTTTGTCCGAAGTACTTTCTCTTAATTTATTTTTTAAGGCAGTCAGGTCTTTAACATTAATCATACACAGAGTCATGGCAGTGAGCGTTTAAAACTGAGGAGAATTTTGAGTTTGCTTGCTTGAAAGTATTGTGGCTGTTCAGATCAAACAGCCATAGCTTTTCTGGGATGTGCTACATGTGTGTTTCACTTTGATTTAATTTCAAATAACCAAATGACCGGACAAAATGAAACAGGGTTTATGAAGAGGAAGAAGCATTCTGAGGATCTCTTGAGAGCACCCAGAGTGACTAATCGTGTTTTCTTATTTTTTCTATTCAAAATTATTCTGATCTGTTTAGTTCCATATTTTTTTTGGTCATTCATAAGAAGGCAGATAAGTTAAGGGTGGAGGAGGAGAAGATTTAGTTACAGAACTTTGCAGGCTATGAGAGAATTCATTCCATACAGCTTCAGTGGACAGCTACTGGATGTAGGATTGCCAAGAGAAGCAGGAATGCTCCACAGGACTAAATATAGTCGTTTTAGAAATGAGTCCCTCACATCGCTGGAGGAAGACACATCAAGTGATCTTCTTCGTCTGAAGGGCTCTTCAGCTTCTCCTTCCACTACACCTAACATACCCACTGAAGATGTCACGGTTGGTACCTCGGACAGCTCCATCTCTTTGTGCACCTTGGTACCTCGCATGGCAAATGTTAAGTTGGCCAACCCTTCCACCTTACCATCCCTGAAGAACTTCTGCCTACGAACTAAAGAGGTGTCAAGACTTAAACTCACGGAATGCGTCACTGTCCCGACCAGACCAGCCTTGCCAGAAATCAGGTTAAGCAGCTGCCTGTCTACTGCTTATTCCCAAGGAGACCCAGACAAGGCATTCAGGTCAAACACAAACATCCAAGAGAACTGTATTTTGTTAGGTTTGGACGAATCTGCCTTCCTGTCTAAACCAAGCAAAGATCTTGGACAAAAGGGTGAATCCAGTTTGGACACTGGGATATCATATGCTGCCCGCGTAAGTAGCTTCCCTTGATCTTTTTCTCTGTAGTAGCGATGATTTGAATTAATACATTTGAAAAGATTTCTGTAATAAGCTCCCTTGGAATTGATGTAATGTGTTAGAATGCTGTCCTTAAGGCAATCTTAATCCTTGCAACTGTTTTGTAAAACTATACAATATGTACATATTTCTGGAAAATGTACCTGTTTGTTTTATACTTTAGCTGCTAGACTTCTGCCGAACAAATATTTAGCCCACCTCATTTTATATGCTGAGGTCTGATTCCAACATGAGAGTTAGGGAAAAAAAACCTTGAACAACTCTCATTTTATTATTTCCCCCACATTTCACTAAACTGCCTTTAAATCTTCCCCTCCTTTAGGCTAAGCCAACACAGGTTGGAGCGTTTCTCAGGCAAATAATAGAATATTTTTTTGTACCAGGCAAAAAATGGAATGCACTTACAGAATACAGATGTGATTCAGATGACCTCTCATTTGGTGTGATACACTATGTGAATTACATATGTAAGAAAAGTGGCACACGATTGTGGAAACAGTGTGGAGAAAATATGGCATCTAGCTAAGTCTTTGAGTTAACATGTTGAGGAAGTGATTCTTTAAAAAAAAAAAAGAAAGACACAGGGACATTTGTGCAAAACACTGAACGCAAACCAGTGAATCTTATTTTAGCCGAAGTATTATCTGACTCCAGCTCATATGCTTTCAGTTTACTGTGCAGTGCGTAATGCAAACCGATAAAATTGGGTCAATTAGATAAAACAATGCTTCAGTTAATTGTGGGTAAGCATTTCATGAAGTGTCTTGATACAGAGCTATCAGTGGCCAAGTTCTCTCACTCATAGGGGAAAAAACCAAAAAGATTCATTCCATTATACAAAACACAACCTGAATGGCTAGGATAATGTGGAAAAGAAGGCTGAACTTGTATAAACCAGGGGTAAGTGACTCTTTTTCTTCAAAAGGGGCTCTACTTTTCATGTTATTAAATTATTTTCAGTCTGCGAGGCCACTGGGTGGGGGGAAAAGAGCCATCAAAACGGTGATGTCACCAGAGTGAGTGAAACTAAGCATTCTGGCCTTTTCTTTATTTTTAGAAGTTTGTAGGGAGGTTGTTGAAAATAGGTGTATGAAATCTCCCAGAAGCTTAACATGCCTATTTTATTGCTTCTATTGTAAAAAAGAAAGAAAGAAAACCTTGCATCACCCAAGATTACAATGTTCTCCTCAAAGACCAACATCTTCCTGGAGGTTCAGGGCAGAAAGAAACATAAAAATGGGGCTGGTGGATTACACTGAACCCAGATTGGTGTCTGCAGGGAGGGTGTCAAAGTGTCATGACGCATGTAAAGGACAGGGCTTCGATTGCATAGTTGTGGCTGTCCTCCTTGATTTTTTGGAAACCCCTGTCAGCAGGATAAAATTGGCTAGTTGGGCACATGAACTTTCCCTTGAGAACCAGGGAGTGATTTTCAGCCTGGAAGCCTTAGAATAATGTGAGTTTTATTACTGTACCTTGAACAGTCATGTGAAAAGCTAACAGTTGTCCCAGCAACCCTCCAAGGGACAGAGCACCAAGGACTTCCTGTGTGGAGGAAGGACCACAGTTAAGACAGATAAGCTCTAATTTGCACTAAAGGTGGTGATGTTGCCACCTTGGCAGAATACAGCCCTACATTTGAAAAGCTGTTCAGCCCAAGTTCAGGAAGAGAAGGGGGACATGTTGCCCCATAGAAATCAACCCCTGTATTATAGCCTAACCCAAGGGACATAAATCACCAGATCACAATCCTTCCCCCTTCAATGAGATGGTTTGTGATTCTGTTACCTATTTCAAAATGAATTGGTGTTTGCAATTCTTCCTTAGACCCATGCCCTTCTCTGTCCTGTTTCCCCACCCCCTGAGGGATAAGTGTTGACCTTTTTGGCCATGTACAGTGGCCATCTTACTTTGCACGTACACAAATTAAATTAATCTGATTCAATTTTTTTAAAAAAAGGACTGGGCAGCTGATGAAGGGGGAGACCTCAGCTTAGATTCGTGATGTCCTATTGCCAGTCCAAACTAACCTGGATTAGATAGGATATGAGACAGCTTCTTCTAGGCTGAATTTGCACAAAATGTAAGCCAAAGCCTAACATTTAGTGTGTTTTGTGAAGTCAACAACTGTGATTTATTCAGTAAAACCACTTTTAAGCAAACTCAGGCTTATTGTACTGTGCAATGACATCTCCAGTGTGCACTGTAGATTCCAGGACGTGTTCCAACATACGGAAAGTGATTTCATGTGGAAATGCAGGAATCCATTATTACAGCATCCACCACAGAGGGCTATCCAGCCTCTGCTTAAACATGTCGTATCCTTATTCTTACTGAAAAGACTATAGGCTAAGAATTTTTATCTTTTATTTTATTTTGTATTGATGTTACTGTAATTTGTTTGATTGCTGTGAGCCACCCAGAGTTGTTGGGCACCGGGCAGCATAAAAGCTTAATAGAGTAAACTATTACAGACTAAGAATTGCAAACCCAATCTGGGTTTCAGCTGCTTTCACTCTGCAAAAATATAATAATGTAATCTATATTGGATTTCTTAGTGGTTCAGACCTCTAAGCATAAAGATATTTTCCCCCCGCTAAGGCTGTACAATTTTTTTTAACCTGCTAGCTACATTTGGTCTTCCGGCAGGGCGCTAGTCTCACACTCCAAAAAGGGGTAGGGACAGGATATTAACTAAATTTCATTTCATTTAATTAAAAGTAAACAGTGAATATGATGGGTTTTGGTCATGGACATTAATACTTTCCTCTTTCTATCACATTACAAAATATAATGAGATAGTGACTTATATACCCCCACATATATAAAGAGAGAGAAATTGCTAGTGGAATTTCCCATTAAAAAAAAATTAGCACCTGGTGAGCTGGCCAACTTTATTTATATGCACATGCTGACTTTCATTTCCTGATAAAGGAAAGATCTTTGTTGCATCAGTGTATTTTTTTTTTTTTTTTGTAGAACCACTATTTTCCTATTCCTTACGGTGGGGGGGGGGGGGGTTGCCACAACCTGGTTGTTTCGAGTTTCTTCTGTCCTGAACCCAACACTATCCAACATGATGTGGATAGTGGTTGATGAAAACATTAAATTATGCATGCTTTTTAATAGCAATCTTTTCAGGGATTGGAGCAAGAGGTGACAGAAACTGTACTCTAACCAGGAGCATTGGGGATTGAATGTTCATATTGACCCATTGCCTACAAGCAAAGCTTCTCCTTGCTACATCCTGTGCAAACATGATTTTTCTTTATTGCTTTTTATCCACTGAAGTTGTTGGCCCCATAAACAGGACATTACAAAATAGTGGGAAAACTCTTAGCATTACATCGGCACTACTTGGTTTTACCTCCTTGAATGAAAAGCATCAATTCATCTGATCATTTTACAGATTGATTGACTGATTACATGCCATCAAGTTGTTTTCAACTCATGGCAACCACATAGATAGATTTTCTCCATGATGATCTGTCCCTAATCTGGTCTTTCAGGTCTTCCAACATTGCACCCATTGCCACTGTAACTGAGTCCATCCGCTTTGCATAATGTGTCTGAAGTAGGATAATTTGGGCCTGGTCATTTGTGCCTCAAGTGAGAACTCTGAGTTGATTTGTTTGATGATCCATTGGTTTGTTTTCTTGGCTGTCCATATCATTCTCAGGAGTCTTCTCCAACACCAAAATTCAAAAGCATCAATACTCTTTTTATCCTGCTTCTTCAAAGTCCAACTTTCGCTTCCATAGAGCGTCACAAGGAATATCACGACTTGCATGATTTTGGTCTCTGTAGGTATAGACACTTCACAGATTTGAATATCTTTTCCAAGGCCTTCATGACTGCTCTACCAAGTGCTAGTCTTAGGTGTATTTCTTGACTGTTTGTTCCATAATTTCCCAAAGCGTTGGCTTCCATTGCCTTCACACCCATCCACCCACCTACCTGTACACCAGAACCATACAAAATAGGCCCAATCCAACTTATCTGAAAGTGTAAAGTTGGGTAAAACTGCTCTAAAGAACTGTTCTACATGTGAACGAGTCAATATGCAAAACTTTCTACATCTATTTTCCACAACCTCCCCACAACCTTCTAAAAATAAAGGTCAGAATGTTCGGCCTCACCCATTCTGGTGACGTCACTTCTCAATGGTTCTCTTTCCCCCAGCTTATGGTTCTCAGAGTGAAAATAATATTTAAAAATGAAAAGTCAGGCCTTTGTAAAGAAAAAAAAAAGTTGCCTACCCCAGTTTATACAAGTTTAGCCTTCTTTCCTACATTAACTGAGCCACTTTTCAAAATTAGCACCTGAAGACTCCTAGTTAAGATGTTTTGTTTTGTTTGTTTTAAAGCTCTATTCTGTCATTTAGTTCAGTTGGAAAGTGGGGTTAGGGAGAGAAAATAAAACAGCAGCCAGATTACAGTGGTACCTCTACTTACAAACTTAATCTGTTCCATGACTCTGATCACAAGTCGAG